AAATATTCACACTTTTGTGTTTTTGTTTCCCTGTAAATGCATCTGTGTGTGTCGATGGTGGCGAGGCGTCATGTATGTGTCACTTTTACACCGGTAATTACTGCCACGTGACAATGAAAATTACTATCTGCTCGCTTCATTCTTATGTGGTTGTTTATTACTATCCCGCTGCTGTTATGTGAATTCCTATGTTGTCGCTAAGTTTTGTAGCTTCTATTGCCATTGTTTTGATGAATTTTGCGGTGGCGAAAGAAAATTAAAAAAAATTAAAAATATAAAAAGAAATAATTGTGTTGCCTTCAATTTGTTTTACATCAAGATCATCGGCATCCACCAGCAGTTGAATGCTCTTATAGTAGATTCTGCCTTTTATATTTAGCTTTGCAGCTCTTATTATTTTATCCAGCATTAGGTTAAAGTCACAGGTCCCCTTGTCTTAAGCCTCGTTTAGTATCGAACGGCTTGGAAGCGTTCTTCGTGATTTTGACTTCTCACGGTTCTTTTCTAAGGTTTGGTTCAATATTTATTAGGTCTAAAGTCACAGAGATAAGGTCCAATCAGTTTGTTGACGACGGTGGGCTTAAGTATATTTTCCACAATACGCTTGATAGAACCTTATATGCGATACTTAGGAGGTTAGTTCCACGGTAATTGGCATAGACCGTGGATTCAACTCTTTTATGGATTGTGTATATTCTGAAAGAAAGCTTATGCATGCACTTTATCAGACACAGCCCTTGGAGGCCACTTTTTTAGTCAGCTCTTCGACGCCATGTTTGAATAACTCTGCCGGCAGAGTGTCAGTTCCAACAGCTTTGTTGTTCTTTAAAGGGGCAATCACTATTCGAACCTCATTATAGTTGTGGAACGTCTCTTCTAATATTATTGATTGGTGTTTCGTGTTCACCACCTCCAGGTGTTGCGCTTTCATTCAGAAGTGTTTCCTCCCATACATCACGTGTGCTCTGGTTATCGGTCACCAGATTGCCATCTTGGTTCATACATGAGTATGCTACGGTCTTGAAACCTATTGTGACGCGCCGCATCTTTTCATAGAATATTCGAACATTAACCTATTCGACTAGACTTCCAAGCCCCTTTTTCTGTTTGTCTGCGAATGTGTCATGCTTATCTCTTTAGCTCTCGGTATCCATGCCATCTACATGTGCTGGGGTTGATCGCAAGGTTTCGAGCTACGCAGTCTGTCGATTTGCTGATGAGTGCACTCAGAAAGTAAGTGTGGATGTCGGGTAAAAACGAAAGTGAAGTCTTTGCAATGAAATAGGTAATTGCTTCCCGGATCGGTCACAACTTGAAGCAGGAGGAGCCATATTTTGAGACGGACAAAGTTAATTTGGACCTCAATAGTTTTTATTGTGAAATAATTGGATCGAACAGCCTTTTTTCAATCACAATGTAACCCCATGAGTCATGACCCTAGAAATTCTTTATTTCTTTAAATTAAAAATTTGATCTCGATTGAATTTCATATTCTATCTTTTTGGAAAAATTTAAAAATCTTCGATACTAAATCTGATTAAACTGAGAGCTTTTCCAATATTTTTCTACCATTCTTTTAGAGAGTTTCTGTTTGATTATTATTACTACTTATGTATATGTACATATATATTAGGGTTTATTAGGAGTAGAAAAAAGAAATCCATTATTTTCCCAATAGATGGCGCTATTTATGTGTATATCGCGTTGTATAAGTCCAATCGGGTTCCGCTAGATAGCGTTAGAAATATGACATTTCGTACTAAAAAAGCTTTTCTTACAGTTCGGGTTCAGTGGATTCAGTTTTGTTTGAGCGTGAGTCAAAGATGGAAACTTGTAAGTTACAGTTAATCATGCATAATTTCGGTTTCATTCCGGTAATTTTGATGTAAAAGATGCTTCGCGAAGAGGAATAGTCGAGTCCGACCGTCATGTAAGCCCTGTTTCGATTGCGCAAGAGCTAAAGATTGCCCAGAAAGCCATTTGGAACCATTTTAATAAGACCAGATACAAAAAGCAAAAATTAAAGCCTTCAATTTCATGCAAAAACAATAGAGTTCTTTTTACTACCGTTATTATAATTGGCACTTTATAAGCGCTGAAGAGATTTTTGGCCGAGTTCCTTCTCCAATTTGTGGTATACGTCTTGATGTCTTCCAACAACTTACTCTTTGCATCTTTCAAGGTTTCTCAAATGCGTTTGAGATGCCAAAGTACATTTTGCATTGCAATTCTTTTCAATTTTCTGCAATTTTCTTAAGCCTTTTAACGTAGATTGCAATTCGACCGCACTTTTTCAATTTGCCAACCACTCGAAGTCCTTTACAACGTTTTAGCTGCAATACGAGAGAAAAAGGAAAACGGAAAAGGATGTCCGTTATATACTGGAGATACTAGTATACCTACTAACAATACATACATACATACATACATACTTGTGCATACACGTAAGTAAGCCTTCATAAATATTCAAATGAAATTTTCATTTAAAACTTTGAAGTAAAAGGAAAAAGAACTTGACAGACACCAAATGGTTTAGATTGAGTACAAACAGCAGATGGCGCAATGCAAAGGGTTTGTAAAGGCGGAGGAATGCAGAATGCAGTGGCTGCTGGCAACTAACAACTGAGTGATGGGAAAAGACACAAAGCGATGCTGCTGCTAGATCCTAAGCAATTCTACACTCTCTCTGTGTGTGTGAGAGGGACACTATAAGTGGCTATAGAATAACAGCAAAAGCCAAATAACTAAAAAATACTAGCATAAATGACACAAACAGACAAAGAAAGTAATGGAGAGTGTAGAAAAAGGGGATAAGTGAAAGGAAACTCAAGTAAGAAAAGCCCAATAAGCCTTTAAGTTAGAATTAAACTCAGAATGTAAATGGAAAGTATTGTATAGGGTTATAAATTCCGTCGTTTCAAAAGTACAGAGCTGTCATGGGATGGCACCATGTGTAGAAGTTCACGCGAGGGAGGAAGGTTTTTGACTACCATTCACATGTAAGTGTCCAAAAACGATTCTTTTGCAAATGGTTCAAGCAGCTGACGACTTTCGGTCTTAAACCAAGCATCCCCTTGGTATCCAACAAACATCAGTGTGGAGGCAAGCTAAAGTGACAAGGAAAATCCCATGCGGTTGTGTGTAGGGTGTGGGGCCCACCACATGAAAAGTAAACTCCAATGAAAATTATGGCGACCCCCGAATTGTTTTAAGGCTCACGATTTGAGGGTATGAACCGGGAATGTCCGGTCCCTTAATTGGAAAAGTTCCTCTGCTGGTTGATATACTAATTAAATTAAAGGCTGACACCAACGCTGATGGGCGAGACAAGGACGGAAGAATGGTATTTCTTGTAAAATATATGTGCTATTTTGTATCGCGTTTGTGGTGGGAGAGAGACTGTGTCGTCGAGTACTAGCACTGGAGTGGTGGATGAACGTCTCGCCACAATCGACATCAAAACGAAATTTTTGAATACATGCTCCGATGGAAGAGAAGAACGATGTGACCAAGGATGCCTTTTATAAGCGCCTCGAACTTACTTGTGAGCGCAGTAAATCTAGAAAGCTACTTGGCTAGCTCTAGATCGAAAAACCCGCAACCATATCGAACAGGTTGCGATAGACCGAAGACATGTACCCAGTGCTTACGTTTCGTGGTCCTAACATCGATTTGGATCAGTATCCTGTCGCAGCGAAGATACTCTCACGCCTCTGCGTATCAAAGAACGTCCGTTGACAAACACAAGGTTCGACGTCGAAAAGTTGCTATCACAACAGGTACTGTGAACGATTTTCTACATTATGGCGATTTACACCTACATCTATATCAAGTTCAGCTCACACAACAACTGAAGCCAGCTAACCTGTTACAACGCCGGAGATACGTCTGTTGGATGCACGCGATTATTCGAACAAACTTTTCTTCAGCGACGGGGCACATTCCTCACTCGGAGGATGCGAGAATCCTCAAAAAAATTGAGGAGACAGCATTTCACCCAAAAAAAAAAACTTACTGTCGCTGTTTGATTCGGAGGTGTGATTGGATTTAACTACTTTGAAAACGACAATGGTGAGACTGCCACTGTCCATTCGGAGTGATATGGTTGTATGATAACCGACTCTGTTTTGCGAGAGAAATTTCCCGGCAAAGATCAGATTCCGGAAACTTCAACTTGAGCCCAAATGCGAGGGTAGAATATTGTTCATTGGTATACCTCCATATGCTACATTAGTGTGTACTGGAAGGGCAACACATTCCCATATGTGGACTGCAGTGCTGCCTTTGGCAACTGCTGTATGTTGCAATGAAGAAAGCATTAAAATGAATAAATAAAAGCGATGCAAAAAGCACACTCTTTCTTTGTGGCAAAGGACACTTCGCAGGCAGGCGTTGAGCTCGTAAATAAATCAATGGACAATTTTTATTATGCCCAACTTTCGCAGCCACTGCACTGGCTAGCGTGTGTTTTCGTATATGTGCGCATATGTGTGTGTGTAAGAAATAGTGTCGTCAGCACTCAGTGGCAAAGACGTTGTGTCAACAACTGCTGCAGCAGCACTCAATGCAAGTGCACCAACCAACAGCTTTCACAGCTCATCTTGAGCGGCAGTGTATCACATCAACTGCAGTCGGTGCGCAACTGTTTTATTGTTGGGACAATAAGTGAGTATGGCTGTGTGTGTTAGAGTAATCTAAATAAATTTACAAGTCTATAAATTGTTAAAAACGCATAAGCATATACTTTCAGCCTGTCACTATGTATGTATGTATGTAGTATGTGTATATTTAGTTGCTTTTGGTGTAGTGATGAGTTTTGCAATATGCTCACTGCTTGCTATTTTAAAAAGCGGAAATTTCATTGCTTCCTTTTGAGGATTGACTTTGCTCTTTCTATGTGTGCAATATATTTCCAATCGACAGATGTTTATTTAAAGTTAGCAAAAAGAAAACTCCGAATATTGAAATTTATTTTTTTTCCAATTTTTATTTTTTTTTATTTACTTTGTTACAGTTATAACATGTTCATTATTTGTTGACATTTATTTAAGAAGCTTCTAGTATTTCACCAGATTTACTTCTTGCAACAGTCATTCTTGCAACCGACCTTGCACTTACATGTGCACTGTTGGTCGCAGGGGCAGCCATCGCCGCACTTGGCTGAAGAGCATTTGCAATCTGTAAAAAAGAAAAATGGCGAAGAAATTAATTATATGAGCTGTAGATTATTTTCAAGATTTTATATATTTTAAAAAATTATAATAAGTAGAAAAAAATAATATAAATAAATAAAATAATTAAATATTAAAATTAATATAAATAATTTTTGTATAATTAATTTATAAACATTTTCACGCTAATTTTGTGTGCGCACCCTAATGAGCCGGCCAAGTGATAGCTGAGATTTCGAAACAACTAATTTACGATAATATTTAAAACTAAATCATAAAATTAAAATTTAAAACATTTATGGACAAAGTGACTTTGTCACATATACAATTGGTTTATAAGTTTGTAATTTTTCATAATTAATCAAAACGAAAGGCGAGGTATTTTATTTTAAAGGGCCTAAGAAGAAACCCTCGCGTAAACAATTGCTTTAATTTAAAAATAGTCACATATACATATGTATATTCGAAAGCGAGTAGGTCGATATTTCGAGTGATTGAATGTGCCACTTTACTACCAAATTAATCTTCTTAGTCGATTAAGCTCCAGCAAAATTGAGAACTAGCAGTTTTTTAGAGGTTTGGAAAGCATATTTCATTGATTTGCACTACAGAGATAAATACGTTTATCGGGTGGACTCATATGGGTGCACTGAAGTGTACCTTCTTTTCCACTATAGTAGTTTGGTAACGAAATCGCTTTGTTTAGGGGTCTTGATTGGCAAACGGCTTATTGTGGCATTATTTGAAATATTGGTGTAAAGAAATCCATTATTTTTGCATGAAATTGAAGACTTTAATATTTGCTTTTCGTATCCAGCCTTATTCAAATGGTTCCAAATGGCTTTCTGGATAATCTTTAGCTCTTGGGCAATCGAAACAGCGCTTACTTGATGGTCGGACTGGACAATTTCTCTCCGCGATGCATTTTTCACATCAAAATTACCGGAATGAAACCGAAATTATGCATGATTAACTGTAACGGTATCAGGACCATAAACGCTTTCCACATTTTTATCCGCTTGAAAACAAAAAAACTGTAAAATACATCGTATTTTCTCTTTGCAAGTGCCCATCTTTGACTCACGCCCAAACAAAACAGAATCAACCAATCACAAAACTGTCAGAAAAGCTTTTTTAGTACGAAATGTCATCTTTCTAACGCTATCTAGCGGAACCCGAACGGACTTATACAACACGAGGTACAGATAAATAACGGCATCTATTGGAAAAATAATGGATTCCTTTTTACTACACCTACAGAAGGAGTGAATAAATAAAGGCATTACTCAGACAGCTCTAATAGTTGCATGGCATTCTCGGCTCCATATGGAAATACCAAGGTTCGGACCTTGGCCAGACTCTGCTTCCAGCAGTTGATGCCTCATCAAAGATTAAAGAGTTTTTTCCCTCTGCTCAATCATTATCTAGCTAGTATAGTCTCTGTCTATTTATTCGTACTTTTTTCTTTGTTAAAGCAAATGGCGGATTAACTTTGATCCGAAGTATATAAGAAGAAGAAGAGATAAACTTATAAAAATTTATACCAATCGGATCAAAACGTGTTGAGTTTACTTGTCCTGTCCATATCTCCGTCTGTTCTCCGTCTCGTTCTTCAGTGTTTGAGATAATGTAGCCGGATTTAGTACACAGATACAGTAGTACAGTTCCGACCATTATGGCATATATGCGACCGATTTTTTGAATCAGAAAAATCATAAATTGGTAAAAAAAATCACATTGCTGCTGCCCCATACAACTGATTTGTTGAGAAATGAGACTTTGATCAGACCTCAGTTAAAAAGTATCTTACAGCATGAAGACTGGTTTTGTACATTCGTATCTACAAATAAACATTTTCATCGATAATGGTCGAATTGGTATGGGACCCAAGCCTAAAGCGCAGCTCATAATCACTACACCTTCTTGTTTTAGCACACTTTTTATACACAATTATATACATAGAAATCGTTTCCGGCCAAATCTGGTTGCATGAAAGACAAAAACTTTCCAGTTCTGACTTCCACTCCTCGTCTACATTCCAAAATCGGATTAAAAAATTTTAATTTCGGAAATCTCACACAATCTAATTTTTTGAGTTATCATATTTTACTGTAAATAGAAATGGCATACGATACCCAGTTTGAGCCAACTGATGTGTATCTATGTTGCTGCAGAGATATATGTACTTAGCATTATAGAAACACCAACAGATCAGGTGAATGCAGCTTATTAATAGGTTTAAGGTAGAACGCAATCGAGCTTATCAGGTTCCTTTTCTTAAAAAAAAAAACTTAATAACATTGTGTTGTTATTTACTCCTCGTCGTTCATATATTTCTTTGGTAAAAAAAATTAACTTTTTTACAAATTTTTCACTCTTGTGAAAAACTACAATTCACATTAATCTCTGTTGCTTGACAGAAAAACAATGCCAATAAAGTTTAAATTAATCGGAATGTTATTTAAATTTAAAATTTTCATAAAATATTTTTTTTGTTGTCCACACACACCTTTACAACAAGCCGGACAACCCATTGCGGTATTGAATATTTGTAAACTTAATTTTTTTTTTTTGAAAAGGAAATTTCAATGCACCAAACTGTGTCTACACTTCACTTGAACAGACTAGTATATAATATTTGCTGTAGCGATCGATCGTCGCTTTTATAAGCGTTGAATTTTCCAGGCAACTGACGATATGTATGTATATGTATGTAAAAAATTAATGAGATATACATACATACATACATACATACATACATACAAATCAACATGGGTACGAGTATGTAAGCACTAGAACGTGTATGTACCCTGCAGGGAGCAGCGAGATTAGTAAGCAAAAATTCTGGTATTTTGAAGATGAAATCATACCAGTTGGTTCTTTGTTCAATAGCTCACCAGTAATTGCAATAATAATGACTTCTGCCTCATATATTATTGTAGCATTTAATTCGCCACGGCTGAGCGCTGTTCAAAAGCATAAAATGACGTTTAACGCATCATCCTGACTAAGGCTTAGCACTGTAAGGTTTGTGGCAAGTTAGCACTGTAGTGTGTGTGGTTCGTGGCTCAAAACTCGCTGCAAGCAAATTATATTTTATTTGAATTTTAATTTTTATTTTGGTGAAGTAGAAATTCAACATACTTAAATAAACTAGTATTTAACTAGTATAAAGCTGAAGCATATTCAAACAATTCACAGTTCACCAGTTTTTTAGATGGCAAATAGATGGAAGATGGCACTATATATACAATTGGCGCTTTGTAGCTGCTGATGCGATTTTCCGCCGAGCTCCTTCTCCAATTTGTGGTTTTGCGTCTTAATGTTTTTTCCAACACATCGAGGGATATACTGTTTATATTAAGGCGCCTCCGAACGGCTCTTGGTTCATTTATGAGGAGCCTTTATGTGATGTCAGAAATACACTCGGTGAGGTTGACATTCCCTGTCGAGGGGCGACGCCAATTATAAAATTTAACTTAATTTTTTATTTAAATTAATTTTCTATAACTTTTTGAAAGCTAGTACGATACAAGAATGTTGAGCCCGAACCTTCCGAATGGCAGTACGAAACGCTTGCCACCGGGCTACCGCCGCCGCGATGGAAGTAGCTAGTGCAAAAATTCAAAGCGTTTGGATTCTGGCTTACAACTAATATTTTTTTCCTGCCGGGTATCTACAAACATAACACATACATATATATATATATGTAGATATATATCATTATTACATCAGTAACATAACCCATTATTTTTGCACTTTATTATAAACTTTTGCACAATTTCAATTTGCATTTAGGTTTCACTTCAGCAGGCTCATTTCGCCGTGTGCACCAACATACGGTATTATTGTTATTTTGCGCGCGGCTAATTGCCAGCGATAAGTACTTAATTATTGCGCACAACTCGATTTGTATTGGCCGGGTAAAATTGTTTGGTTTTTTTGTGGTGCTGCGTTTTTTATTCAGACTGATAACCGTTAAGTAAATAAACAGTGTTAAAGTGAGTGTTCTTATCTTTGATTTGTGGTAATACTTGTATTTGATGTTGAGTATTTAGATAACTGTAGATATGTATAATTCAAAGTTATTCAGTAGCATTTCAATTATAAGGCTGCATGACAGACAGGTTTCCCATTACTTTTTTATTCTTGTTTTAAATACCTTCAGAAAAGGAAAAACATATGTAAATTAGTACATCATTCTTTACTCATAAAATTGTCTTTTTATCAGTAGTCGGCGAATGCATTTTGCATATACATACATACATAGCTTAAGGGATAAGGTCTAATAATGAGCATTGACCAAACACCCAAATTGGTTGAACAAGCATAAGTGCATCTCTAACTGTCACTCTGTGGCAGTAAAACAATATATGGTCGGTACGATCAGTGACCGAGACATTTTCACTGTCGTATACAAAAACCACTTCCTGCTATCTCAAGCCATACCACCTCCGCTATGAGACAAGGGGCGAAGCAGGATAACTATGTAGTAAAGCAATTCGCTTTAATTCCAATTGGTTTGGAAAACACTGCTTTCCCGGTATGAAAATAAACGCCAACAGGTCGATATGCAGATCGCTATAGTATTAATGAACTTACCTAAAATGAAACTAATGAAGAATTTTTTTGTTTATTTTCCCCAATCACATATTGTTTATCAGAGCTGGAAACTCTACACCCACACATTGACAGTGAAGAGCCAATTCTTGTAAATATATGAACATCCGATTTGCCAGAAAATTCCCTAGTGCTGTGGGAGCCGCAATAGCCGAGTGGTTAGTATCACTCCGTCATGTCTGTATCAGAAGAATAATATGAATTCTACAATAAAAAGGACACTTTTCTTTGCACAAAATTCTTCTTTCCGGGAAAAGTACTGCCGACTATGGTCATATTTTCTCATGCTGAGAAAGCCGGTCGCAGTCTAGAACAACTATGCAATAGCAGAGGGAATAGCATAAAATACCGTCGAATTAACCAGCCCTATGCACGGCTTCCAAAATGTCTTGTTTAAATTTTATTCGACTGATCAGGGCGGTTCAGAGTTTTTATGAATGACTTTCCCAAAGTTGAAGGTTCAGACCTTCATCCGCAACTGCACGAAACTTACGCTCACTTTCACTTCATTCAATTTGTGCAGCAGGCTGGTCGAACCGGTTCGTTATCCGAGAATAGTACCCGCGAATATCCCCGTCCGGAGCATTTAGAGGAAAGCAACGTCAACTCCGCGCCAATCAAAGAAGTTAAATAGTTCGCGCACTTATTTGTGCAGGGTTTTAAATAGTGAACTCGGTATGAAGGCTTATGAAGTTTAATTGGTCGAGGAAATTATTTCCTATGATCCGGACTACTATTACTTTTATAATACAATTTATTTTTTTCTGTGATCTACTCCTTATCCCATTTGCGTTGCCTGGTTTTTCGGTAGGTCGTTGTTTCTTTCCACCTTGGCGTGGCATGCTCATATGTAAGTTTCTTGAGAAGGAGCTTGCGTTCTTTATAGAGAGTAATCTGCTTGGTCATACCATTCCCAGCAATTTCATCCGCCTTACAATTTCTCTCGACGTTTTGTATCCAGAGACACCCGTGAGAGATAACTCATTTCGTTTAGCGCTCTCCCATAAGGATCGGTTCAGCACAAGTTTGGTATTCTGTGTAAACGAGCCCAGTGCATTTATTGTTGCCTGACTATCGTAGAAAATGAATATATTCTTATCTTTAAAACTGGCTACTGTATTTGCTTTGCTGCCGCCATAATTGCAGATATCTCTTTACATTAATTTTCAAATAAATTTTTCTACCGATGGAAAATATTGTTCCAATGGCCACTGCCCTACGATGTTCTACTACAATTTGTTTGTTAAATACGGCGTTGCTCCCAGAGCGTGGCCAAACATCGTTTACAACTCATTGAAAATAATTTAAATAGCTCCCTCACCGCGCCATCGCCATCTCCGCCACTCCTATCAGACATTTAAAGGCGCTGTGGACTGTTGCATTGAAAAATAATTACATGCTTGTAGGCGCAAAATTGGCAGGGAACTCCCATGACGACGACGATGGCAATGACAACGACAACAACAGCAACATGGGCGACGTGTCGAGCTAAACGTGCGTGTAAAGTCACGCGCAAAAATCAATGCTACTTAAAATATGCAAATTTTTATTTCCGCGACGATTTCAATTTCAATTTCAATTTTGTTTAAAAGAAATTCCCCAAACTTCACAAACCGGCAATAACAACAACAATAACAGAAAATATAGCAGAAAGCTTGGAAAGTTTGTAAGCGGATATTGAGAGGAAAAGTAACGAGCACAAAGTGCATACCTATGTAAGTATATGCACACAAACACACACACACACCCACACGCAATTCTGACTTTGACTTTTTCCGCTTTACATCGGCGACTACTACACGTATAACGGGAATTGCTCTCAATAGTGTCGTTAACGCGTACGTACTGTATGTATGTATATGCAATATATGCAAAGTACCTTAATAAAAATAACAACAATGGCTTTGGTGGTAACGAAAATCACATTGGCGGCGGCTGGAACGAAATGTTTATAAGCGAAATTACCACACTTCAATATCGCAAACGGGAATTTCGCGGTCCATATTACATACACACATACATAAGCACATGTCTATATATGTATGTATGTGTATATGCCGCAAAGTGAATGTTGTGTGAAGCGAAAAGGAGGCGAAGTGAAATTCAAACCGACTCATTGGAAAACGCATAAACAGCAAATAAATTTTATATTTCATCTGCTTACCACTGCTTTCGGGTTTTCACTGCCTTGCTTTTTTTCGCTGGTCGCTGGGCGCTGGTCGTTGGCTGTTCGACGCTGGCTTTTGTGGGCTAAACCGAAACGCCTGAAAAACTACCATTTTTCGTCGGGCATTAAGCCATTTGGCTGTAGGTACATTATGCCAACACATAATAGCGGTATTTTGTGGTGGGCGACAAAGTTCTATGCTGGCACAATTACAAATTCCGCTGCTCGCACTTGCGTGCGTTCGTGTGTGTGCATGTGTGTGTGTGTATGTGCGCCTCACACAAGCTGTGTCTGTAAATGAGGCGAAATGGTGTCTGCAATAAGTGAAAATGGCGCATTTTGAGGCCAATTACAATAACAAAATGTTCAAAATTCTACATACGTATATGTACGAGTATATATGTACAAACTCATAAATGCGCCTGAGTATGTGTGTTGGGTGCATAAGTGCTCATGCATGTGGGTTAAAAGGGAAAGTTGCCAATAACGAAAGTTCATTTATTTGGCCGGAAATTAGAAATTGCAGCAAGTTCCCTAACATCCGAGTACATATATGTATGTATGTATGCATGTAGGGAAGGGTAATGTACTTACGTGTATGTAGTTATTGTTGGTATGCTTTTGAGCAAAATTTAAAGAGTTCAACCGAAATAGGAAATACGTTTATTTTTGTGGCGGAGCCGTAAGAATTTTCTGTGTTATACAAAATATTCTGATTAACACATTAAAATTTTTGTTGAAATTAAATTAATTTTCGAATTATATTGTTATTTTTATTTGGTTAGTTCTGTGGTAAAAATTATTTATTTTTTCTTTAATTATTAATTTTGAATTATAAAATATTATTCATTATAAA